GATATTCTGTGATTCTATGATCCAGGTCCATCCCTCTGTCATGGGCAGGGGAGGAACACCTTCCACTGTCCCTGGCTTCTTTCAGGAAAATCCCAGATGGCACCTGGCACAAGAGAAACAACAAATCTCAAAACAGGATCCAATCACATTATTTCCAGGCTTTTCTCTTTAAACACATTCCCATTTTAGAAACCAAGACCTTTACTCTTCCTGGAAATTCCTACCCTTCCAGATTGTTCTGTGACCCAAGCTGCACTGGGAAGTCACAGAGTGTGTTTCTCCTCCTGCAGTGACAAGTGCCAGYAGTTTCACATTGGAGCAGTCAGATTTGAGCCAGATTCAAACACCTGAGCATTTGGTTGGGTGTAACCAGCTCTGACAGCTGGGCTGGGGCTGATGGGGCTTGCCAGCAGAACCAGAGGAGAAGCTCCCCTGCTGCAGGTCGTGTCTGCCAGGAAATGAGCAGAGCTGGGGCAAAGAGATCCAAGGGGAAAACAGCAGAGGGGTTGGATGGTAAGATCTCAGCTAAGAGCAGGGTGGGTTCTCTGAAGCACTTCTTGGGTGCAGAAATCCTACTTTTGGCCACTTTCCCTGCTGAACTGATGCTTGTTGTTTCGCCTTCCAGCTGCAACAACATCCATGCGAAGGATTATCTGTGCCCAATGGTCAGAAATATGAGGGTTTGTGTTATTCAGCTTATCTCATAATTACCAGAAATTCAGATAAAGCCTTGTGGGTGACATTTATTGCTGACCTCTGTGGTGGCGCAGACACCAAGGGCCTTTGGATCAAGGTGACTCACCCTGGGAGCAGAGCTGCCACAGCAGTAATTATTTCATCTTCACTYATCACAGGGACATGGCTTTGCTGCAGGGAATGATGGATTCAGAGTTAAAAAATGGTTCTAGATAAATTTTGGAAAAGCAAATCATTCTAATGCTGGGTCACTTTTCCCTCCAGCAATCAACCACAATTAATGATGCATTTTTCTGAAAATTGGGATTTTATCAAATGCCTGACCCTGCCTTTTGTATTTTTATTTTTAAAGAGAGATAATTTCTTTCATTAGCCCAAAGGCTGGAGCTGGGAGATAAATCTTGCAGAAGAACCTTCTTTGTATGAAATGTGCTGATGTAAATAACACCCTCTGGTCACTCTTTGCTCTCTCCTTGATCACCTGTGTTTTTAAGAATCATCATGGTCTCACAGGGGAGCAAGGAGGGAAGCCTTGTCTGCATGGAGAGTTCGGAGGGGAAAATCTGTGTGCAGCCAGTAACCCCAGAATTCCAGGATCCCTGAGGTGGAAAAGGCCTCCCAGCCCATGGAGTCCCAGCTGTGCCCGATGCCCACCTTGTCCCCAGCCCAGAGCACTCAGTGCCACCTCCAGCCCTTCCTGGGACACCTCCAGGGATGGSGAYTCCAAAGSTCYCTGGGCARCCCCTGCCAAGGCCTGAGCACCCTTTCCATGGGCAAATTCCTCCTGGTGTCCACCCTGAGCCTCCCCTGGCCCAGCCTGAGGCCGTTCCCTCTCCTCCTGTCCCTGTTCCCTGGGAGCAGAGCCC